TTTGATTCCCCTAAAATTAATGGAGCTTGATTTCATTGAACCAAAGTTCATTAATTATCTTATGGTTGAAATAGGAAGTTCCTAATTTGCTTCAAATTCATCTATCAGTATCACTGTGTCATGAAGTTCTTGTTATTTCATTTTCTGTACACATTTCATTTTGGCCTTGATATTCACATGTGATTATGTCGTTCCACTTTGCCTTGGAAATCTTAAATAGTATCCACCATAATTTGGAAGTGGTTTGCAATTTTTTCAGTCTTGAAAATCTGTTTCTTCCAATTCCAGAATAGTTTTGCTGGTTGGAAGATATAGGTTCTTTGTTTTCTTAACGTTGATCAATTCGAGATAAAAATTTAGGACTAAAATGTGTAAAAGCATTTGTTTGACTGATGATTATCCATTTTTTAAAAAATATTTCTTGTAACTTAGTTTGCATAATTGCAGGAAATCCCACCAAAGTTTGTGATGAAGATGAAGTTCGGGGATGAGCTGACTAATGTTGCTACACCAACAGTCCCTAACGCTGGAGTTTGGCAAGTTTGAGTGGTAAAAGAAAACGACAGAAAAGAGTGCCGGTGAGTATCAGATTGGTCGAGTCGTGGGAGTGTGATAAAAGGAGGTTGGAATAATTTTTTACAATTTGGAGGAAGAAGACATTTGTGTCTTTGAGATGATGAGAAACGACGACTTTTATCTGAAAGTTTCAGTACATAAAAATTAATTCATAATGAAATTTATTAGCATGCATCCTTGATATTTGACTTGTGATTTGCTATTGGAGTAAACGACATGTTCCCACCCTAGGTTTAACGACAGCCCAAATTAATACCCCTGGTTCTATTTATTCTAAATCTCCACCTTTAAACTAACAGATAAATAAAAATTAGAGTAAATGACATGTTATTACCAAACTACCCCTCCCATCTTCTTCATCTTCCCCTTCTTTTCTTCCACCGCTTCTCTCTCACCCTCACCCTCACCCTCACCCTCAGCCACAGCCACACTCTTTCTCTCCCACCCGAAACCCGAAAGTCATAAGCACCACCACCCACCACCACCCACCACCATCTGATTGTTTTCATAGTTAGGTTTAGGATTTTGCTTTTCTTCGTCGAATTCCCATCGATTCCGATGGCCAAAATCCAATTGAACACCACCAATGCAACCAGCGGCTCCCACTTTATAAAACCCCCTTATCCCTAGCAACCGGTTAGTTGTCGTTCGCCAGTCGAGAGGTTCGTGTTCTTCGTCGCATTTTTTGGTGAAATTGTGTTAATTTGGAGATTGTTTCGGAGAATTGATTGGAGATTGAGAGCTTTGGTTATGATTGGAGGTTGATAGTGTTTGTATTTTGAGTGTTTTTGTGATTTTGTTTTGGTTTTGGACAAATCGGGTGTTGGACAAATCAGATTTGTTTGTTTGGGATTTTTGGGGTTGATTGGTTGACTTTTGGAGTGTTTGTGTTTGTTGTTCGGCGGCAGTGGCATGGTGGTGGTGGTAGTGGGATGCAAACCAACTATCTCGGTCGGGATCTCTGGCCAATGGTGGTGGAGGTGAAGGAAGAGAGGAGGTGGAGAGAAATGTGAGATTATTTTGAAGTTTGAATTTCAAATTATAGGAAAAGACCGTTTTACCCTTTAACTGTTAAAAAAATGGAAACGGTGTTAGTTTAAGGGTGGGAATTTGGAATAAATGGAATCAGTGATATTAACTTAGACTTTGGTTAAACCTCGGGTGGGAACTGGGAACATGTCGTTTACTCTTGTTATTGACTATAAATTCATCAGGACTTTCTTATAAACATTCCTGTCCAAATTTTTCATGTTGGGCAGTTACGGGTGTTCAAAAGCAATTAATTGAACCCATTAATCACTTTTTGAACCGAACCGATTTTTCAGTTCAGGAAAATTTTTGAACCGAAACCAAACCAGTATAGGGAAAAACCGATGTTTCGATTAACCGTTTTGAAAAAACCGGGTTTCCTCTTAAATTGGATTAAATTTTTTTTTTATTTTAAAAAAATAAAATTCCTAAATTAAATTGTAAATATCAACAATACATATTCAAATAAAAATTAAATATTCATATATATTCATTGACCCACAACTAACAATACATTAAAAATTGATACAAATAATTTAATTTTTTTTTAATTTTAATATATAATATCCATTAAGATTTTTTTTGTATTTTAATATATATATACACACATATCCAACCACAATTAACAATACATTAAAAATTGATACAAATAATTTAATTTTTTTTTAATTTTAATATATAATATCCATTAAGATTTTTTTTGTATTTTAATATATATATACACACATATCCAACCACAATTAACAATACATTAAAAATTGATATAAATAATTTAATTTTTATTTTATTTTAATATATAATATCTATTAAGGTTATTTTTTATTTTAATATATATATATATAGTAAACTGGTTACGGTTAACCGATTTGGATTTTCATGAAAACCGGAAACCAAACCTAAAATCTGGTTTTTTGAATTCTTTGAACCGTAACCGAATCGGTTTTTCAATTACCGATTCAGTTCGGTTTTTGCATTTTTTTTTAAAACCCTTAGTTGGACTATACTAAATGTTGGCAAGTTAAGACAAGTTAGTGGTAAAAGAAGAACGAAAGATTTTGTTTGATAACTACCAGAGTATGTAGAGTATCACTCCATCAGTCTAGTAGAGTATCACTCCATCGATTTAGGACACCTTTTGGTTTTCCGATTCAGATCAAATTCAAATTTTCATGTTGGCGACAATGATGTTTCATGAATGTGTTGTCAGCCTATCGTTAATTGGATTAATATATCAATAGTATTGGTTTGAATCTTTAGTAGCTGGTGTGGTTAGTTTTGTATGTGCAGTTAAATTTTTACTGAACGAACCATAATCGGGTCATCATCAAGATAAGGTCCAGCTGAAAATAGTTCTGATGAAACTAAATTTTTGAAACTCTTATGAGTTGTCCTTATTGTAGTATGTTGTTTTTACCATTTCCATATCTTCTCTCATGAATTACATGCCATCTCTTCATCCTCTTTGATCCATAATTTATGATACGCTAAGTCGTGATGATTTTATTATATTTATGTATTACATTTTAACATGTTAATTACGAGCGATAATATTAGCTATATTTGTATATGATAGCTTAGCTATACTATTGAGATGAGCATCTGTAAGTGAAGACGTGATGGGTAACCATAGAGTTCGGTGGATTAAACGAGGAAAGAGAACGTTGAGGTATTTGAAATGACATGTGATAGCAGGGTTCTATTTGTAATGTTTTAAAATGAATTGGCTCGTCATGTGTGGGAGTAGATGAAAAAGAAGGATGTGATATGGTACCATAAGGCTTACTCATCAGACAAAATCTATGACATGCACCTGTATGGCTGTATTTATCTTTTCAGAATGCGCGTTTATAGGCTCACTCAAATTTTATCTTTTTTTAAGCAAACAAAACTGAATTTGGGGTAGGTTTTTTTTTTCAACTTTGTTATGCGAAAAAAAGTAGGGCTGATGCAGAATCTAGTCAGTATAAGCGTTTAGGTAAATTCCACATTTATCCAAACACAGTCACGTCGCGTGATGACGTGAGCAATATGCTTTTGCCAATGCAGTAGGTGTGTGTCAAACTAGCAAAAGGCTGGAGAAGGTCTATGTGTCCAATCCCTAAACAAATCGCATAAATCGCTCGAACAGGTGGGCAACGAGACGTAAGGAAAGATTTGCACGGCAGTCTGACCAACTCACAGATTTAGTAATCATTACCTCAACTCATCCCACTATAAATAAAGAGCTCCTCTCCCGTTTATGGGATTAGCTCATTTCTCTCTAGAATAGCATACATACATTCTCTCTCTCTCTCTCTCTCTCTCTCTCTCTCTCTCTCTCTTGTAATCACTTGTAAAATCAACTCGTTGAACGCGATCTGATCTCATATATTAATACAATACCAGTGGACGTAGAAATTGCTTGCTTAAACATCCGAACCACTTTAAAACATTGTTCTCCATTTCTTTATCATCCTCATCCCCCAATTTGCGTGTGTCTTCTGGGTCAATTTAGCATTTCACACGTGTGTTTAGTTGATGTTAAAATCAAGCATCGACAAACTTTATTACAGGTTTTAATAATCTTGTAACTTTTAAATTTTAATAATTTCATGAGTCCATTTAAGTCAATTTAGACGAGGGAGTATACCAATAACCCTTGAGGGTGTCACTTGAGAACAAAAAATTTAAATCTTGTCAATCGTATTTTTGTTTATTTTTCCTATAAAGAAATGTGACCATTTATGATGATGATGGTAACTCTATGGCTATAGCTCCAACTCGATTAATGAAACGGTCGAACTCTGATCACAATGGCAGCCTGACATTGTCAAGTTTAAAGAGACTTAAAAGATTAAAGAGAAATAATTCCCATATTTATTTTTGAGAACTCAACACACAACCCTCTTTCTTAATTGCATTTGGACATTTCAGCCTCTTCACGATAAGGATTCAATTTCACATATCATTTCTTTCCTAATTGAGCTTCCAACAATTCATTGCAGCAAAAGTACTAACAACAACCAAAGCAAAAGCAATTAAAACAATTTCTTTTTCATTTGTTTTGTTTTGTTGCTGCATGTGCTCTTGCTCAGGCTAAAGCTGGTCACAGAACAATTAATACAAATCCTTGGGATGGGGCTTTTGGCCTATGATATGTTTTTTGTGATGAACCATATTATAATGATAATTCCATTTTTGCTAATTTGTTTTTTCTTGTTTTGGTTAATTTTGTGCTTCTGGGACTCACAAAGATTTCGTCGACTGTCTAGAATTGATGTTAGTTGATGTTGCAGTGGGTCTATTTAGTGATCCACTGCAACATCAACTTTCTTCTGTCAAGGATTGGCTTTCATGCTTTTCATTGCACATCGCTTCAGCTAATATTATTCTCACCACAACTGCAACAACTAAGCATGGAAGCCAGGAATTCTTTGCCTGAGATTCAAGGCTCTTCACATTTCTTCAAGACCATCCTTCCCTCGACACTTGAAGCTAAGATGCTGGTAATTCCTCACCCAAGTTTTATCTGTTTTTTTAAGCAAACAAAAAAGAATATGGTTGTTTTTTTTTTTTCTACTTTGTTACATACCCATTTGATTCTTTGTAATTTTTTGGCTAAACACTTTACACTTCTGTCATTCACTTGTACATGGTGGTTCTGAAATGTGCATATGACAGCATGAGAACCCAAGTTTTACTTATTTATGTTTGTGATTTACAGTAGGCTATTTTGAGGGTTAAGAAAGCTATACAATGTTGTTTTAAATTAGGCTGAACTCTATGTTACAAATAAATTTCTGGGCATACAAAAGTTTTTGTCACTGAAAATGTTCATTAATGTAATATAGCTTCCTACATATATTAAGCTTGAAATTTTATCAGTTTTAGAACGTTTAAGGTTTCCAGATCCCTCAAAGACTAAGAAGTTTTATTCAAAGTGAATTTCTTAATAGCATTGTTGCTTGTAATTGTGGTGAATGGTGATGGTACTGAATAGAATCTAGTGAGTGTAGGTCTGAGTAAGTGATATATTGCATGAACTTTTCAATAATTCTCATGAATCTCAAGTGGCCTAGTTTGTTGAGTTTGTACCAAGATATGTCTTCTTGTTCGTGGAACATTGAACTGTATTGACAAACTATCTACAACTGCTATGTTGTGGAAGCATTTGTTTGATTGAATTCATTTCTTTTCTTTTTAACTGCCCTTAAGAGGCGTGCTGCCTTTCCTTTTCTGTACATATTTCATTTTGGCCTTGATATTCACATGGGATTTTGTCGTTCCACTTTGCCCTGGAAATCGTAAATAGTATCCACCATAATTTATTTGTCAGTCTTCTGAAATCTGTTTCTTTAAATTCCAGAATAGTTTTGCTGGTTGGCAGATATGGGTTCTTTGTTTTCTTAACATTGACCAATTCGAGATAAAAATTTAGGACTGACATGTGTAAAAGCATTTGTCTGACTGAAGATATATGTTCCTGTAACTTAGTTTGCATAATTGCAGAAAATCCCACAAAAATTTGTGACAAAGTTTGGGGATGACCTTTCTAGTGTCGCTACAATAACAGTTCCTAACGGTAGAGTTTGGAAATTTGGAGTGGTAAAAGAAAGGGGAAAGGTTTGGTTCGGCAATGGTTGGTCTGAGTTTGTTGAGTATTTCTCCATCGGTCCAGGACAGCCTTTGGTTTTCCAATTCAAATCAAATTCAAATTTTCATATTGTTATATTTGACATGACTGCTTTTGAGATCGAGTATCCGGTTAGTGATGGTGAAGAGCCAGAAAATGTCAGGCAGAACTTTGAACATCAGAATAACATGGAAAGTGATGAAGAACGGTCTGTGGAGTTTTTGGGTTCTACAGCTCCAAATTCATCTTTCAGGATTTTGGGAAACAATTTTAAAGATAAAAGTACAAGGACAGGGCCATCTCGCAATGTTTACTCTCCAATGCATAAAAATGAACCAAGAAGAGCTGCACGACAAGTTGGGAAACAGGCAGTGGATGAAGGAAATCAACTTGGTAAGCTCTTTACACTTATATCTTCTTGTTCTAATTTAGTGTTAACAACATTAACCTTTCCCATTGATTGCAGATCATCAAGAGTTCTATGGTTTCCTTGAAGAATTGGGGATTTCTATCAGTAAAGCATGTAGAAATTTTACCGTGGAAGAAAGACAGAGAGCACTCCTTGCAGCCGGATTGTTCAAGCCAAGCAATCATTCATTCTTGGTTATTTTGAGTACCTCTGACTTAAAAAATGAATAAAATGTATTTTGTGTTACATCAGTTTGTACACAAATATTTTGAGGATCTTTGACTTAAGAGTGAATATGATGAGTTTGACTTTTTTTTTATTCACTCTTCCATTCATTTTATACCACATCAGTTTGTAAACGATTTGTTTGTATATTTAACGTTATTGAATTATAAAAGAATGCTTTTGAATCTTTACTAGTTGACACAGTTAATTTTAACATTTCCAAATGAGTTTGTTTCACTCAAATGCATCTTGACAATTGAGGAACTTAAATGATATTTAAAAAAAAAAAAAAAAAAAAAAAAAAGCGAATATAATCTTTCAACCGAATCTAAATTTGACCCTCTAATATTCATATAAGTTTTTTATTTTTAACCTATATGCAGTTTGTTAAGGTTATAACACTCTAATTCATAGTTTGTGTTGTGTGGGTGATTGGGAGAAGAGTAAAAGTTTATTTATTGTGATGAATTAGATGATCGCTATATCTATTCCTTTTCTTTTTCCAAGTGTATAACCTAAGCGGTTGCACCATTGTAAGCCTTAGTCTACCAATTAGACCCCTTCCTTCATCAACATAACGGGGATTGCCTGTAAGGTTTATAAGTACTCATAATATAAGATGTTTACCTAGTCAATATTTCAACATGGCTCTACCCAAACTTTTCTAGTTCATTTCAGTATTTCCTATTTTTCGACGGTTGCGTAAAATTGTTTGGATATCATAAGAAAGGTAATTTTAATGTGGCCAAATTGGATTAAATGGCAACTAGAAGTTACCATCTCAAATTATGTCAAAATTTTCATTCCTTGTAACTTTTGATGTGGATGGGAATGAAAATATAAGTTAAAGGGTACTAATTGATAGATTTTCAAAACTTGAGTGGTTTTAATAATAATTAGCTCAAAACATGGACAAGTTTGTAATTTTGAAAATTTTGAGGATCGAGAAATAATTAGCTTGATATCATTATAAATTGAAAGCAAAAATATTAGTTGAGGGTTGTTCAAATCTCAATAAAATTTATAAAAATAAAATAAAAAATACTTTGAAGCAACAATGGACACCTAACAATAACTCAAAATATTATCTTTAAATTAAATTTCAATATTACTTCGTAATATATAATATATATTAAGTTTCTGTTTTGAATATCCACGCGGTTAATCTAAACGTTATTAAGTGAACCAATTTCGAAATTCTGAAGGTGTTTTAAAAAAAATTCAAAACATAAGGGTTGTTTATAATTTACTAAAAAGATTTATCTCCTTAATGAAATTGTATTTTGCAAACCTCTAGTAGTAAATATATGTCTATACATAACATTATTTTAAAAATTAGCTTCACAATCTAACCGGTTAATACCATGATGTATCATTCTTCACCTAAATTCTAAAATTTAAGAGACAACACCTTAAAACTTTTTAATTATATTATTTGACTCTATGAACCATGGATTTTGACCATTTAAAATTTTGAAGAACAAATAGATAAACATATCTTCAAAATCATTATCAATTGATTCCTAATTCATTAGTGAGGATTTTTTTTAAATCCTATAATATTTATCAAAAAAAAAAAAAAAAAGGTTAAAGCAACAATCAATACTTGAAAAATGAACCAAATACTATCTTTCAACCAAATGTAAATTTAACCCTCTAATATTGATGTAAATTTTAATTTTTAACTTCTACGCCGTTGATTAAAGGGAACTGTGAGGTTAGAATTAAACCAAAGCAAGATACAACAAAACTTGAGGTTAAAAATTTGTGAAATTTATCAAAACATTCGTCTCTTTAAACACATTTGCAAATTGCAATAGCATTTTGCATTGTCCTCAGTCCTCACTAGGGGTGAGCGGTTCCGGGTACCCTGCACTTTTTCGGGGAACCGGAACCGGAACCGCACAGTACAGGTTCCCAAAAAAAGGAACCGGAACCAGAACCGCACAGTACAGGTTCTTCAATTCAAGGAACCGGAACCTAAAATGCAGGTTCCGGTTCCTTTCCAGGGTACCCTATAAAAAATCAATTACCCCCCTATTAGTTTAAAAAATAACAAAAACACCTTANATTTGCAAGTGTTCGATCGGAAAAAATCGCGTCTCCCTTTCGTTCAAGAAATCGCTTTTTGAACTGATGCATTTCGATTAAGTGAGGTGAATAGTTAGTGGGGCTTGTTTTGCGAAATTTCAAATTTTAAAAACTTTCATTATTTCTGATTCGGCCCACATATGTTTTAATCTTTTCATTTTCACCCATTTTACGTGTTTAATTAATCCTAACTATGCCACGTCATCTTCTCTAAATTAAAAAAAATTGATGAACAGTTTCAAGGCCATTTTCTTAAATAGAAACTTGGGATGACAGGGCAGCTAAATTTTCTCAAAGTTTCTGTCACTGAAAATGTTCATTAATGTAATATAGCTTCCTACATCTATTAAGCTTGAAATTTTAACAGTTTTAGAACGTTTAAGGTTTCCAGATCCCATAAAGACTAAGAAGTTTTAATCAAAGTGAATTTCTTAATAGCATTGTTGCTTGTAATTGTGGTGAACGGTGATGGTACTGAATAGAATCTAGTGAGTGTAGGTCTGATTAAGTGATATATTGCATGAACCTTTGAATAATTCTCATGAATCTCAAGTGGCCTTGTTTGTTGAGTTTGTACCAAAATACGTCTTCTTGTTCATGGAACATTGATCTGTATTGACAAACTATCTACAACTGCTATGTTGCGGAAGCATTTGTTTGATTGAATTCATTTCTTTTCTTTTAACCGCCCTTAAGAGGCGTGCCTTTCCTTTTCTGTACATAGTTCATTTTGGCCTTGATATTCACATGGGATTTTTTCGTTCCACTTTGCCTTGGAAATCTTAAATAGTATCCACCATAATTTGGAAGTGGTTTGCAGTTTTGTCAGTCTTCTGAAATCTGTTTCTTTAAATTCCAGAATAGTTTTGCTGGTTGGAAGATATAGGTTCTTTGTTTTCTTAACATTGACCAATTCGAGAAAAAATTTTAGGACTGACATGTGTAAAAGCATTTGTCTGACTGAAGATATAGGTTCCTGTAACTTAGTTTGCATTATTGCAGAAAATCCCACAAAAATTTGTGACAAAGTTTGGGGATGACCTTTCTTGTGTCGCTACAATAACAGTTCCTAACGGTTGGAGTGGTAAAAGAAAGGGGAAAGGTTTGGTTCGGTAATGGTTGGTGAGAGTTTGTTGAGTATTTCTCCATCGGTCCAGGACAGCTTCTGGTTTTCCAATTCAAATCAAATTCAAATTTTCATGTTGTTATATTTGACATGACTGCTTTTGAGATCGAGTATCCGGTTAGTGATGGTGAAGAGCCAGAAAATGTCAGGCAGAACTTTGAACATCAGAATAACATGGAAAGTGATGAAGAACGGTCTGTGGAGTTTTTGGGTTCTAGAGGTCCAAATTCATCTTTCAGGATTTTGGGAAACAATTTTAAAGATAAAAGTACAAGGGCAGGGCCATCTCGCAATGTTTACTCTCCAATGCATAAAAATGAACCAAGAAGAGCTGCATGACAAGTTGGGAAACAGGCAGTGGATAAAGGAAATCAACTTGGTAAGCTCTTTACACTTATATCTTCTTGTTCTAATTTAGTGTTAACAACATTAACCTTTCCCATTGATTGCAGATCATCAAGAGTTCTATGGTTTCCTTGAAGAATTGGGGATTTCTATCAGTAAAGCACGTAGAAATTTTACCGTGGAAGAAAGACAGAGAGCACTCCTTGCAGCCAGATTGTTCAAGCCAAGCAATCATTCATTCTTGGTTATTTTGAGGACCTCTGACTTAAGAAATGAATAAAATGCATGTGATCATGAATTTTCATTGATAGCGTTTGATATATGGTAATTCCAAATAAACGGTTTTGCTTGGTGCAGTATATGCCAAAGACATTTTGGGTCGAGTGTTTGAGTAAAGAAGTGAAACAGATAAAAATACAAGATTGTGACAGGAAAGAGTGGCCGATGGAGACGTGGGAGACTGATAAGAGGAGGCTAGCGTAAATTTCAACAAGAGAAGAATTTGGAGGACGGAGACATCTATAAAAAGAGTGCAGCAAACTCCCCTTTTCCAGAGTTCAACGTGGATGTAGCTTACTCAAAATAGAGCAAGTGAACCATGGTAAATTTGTTGTTGTTTGTGTTTGATTTCTTGATTCTATGTAGCTTGTTTTGTGGATTGGTTTAGTTTTCCGCATAACAGTGTCTTTGAGCTGATGAGAAAGAGAAAGAGAAATGATGACTTTATTCTCAAAGTTTCAATACATAAAAATAAAATTAATCCATAATCAAAGTTATTAGCATGCATCCTTGATGTTTGACTTTATTTCCAAATTTTATGTGTATTTTAAATAGTTTGGGTACAATGATGTTTCATGAATGCTTTGTCGGCCTATCGTTGGAATTGGATTAACATGTGGATTGTATTATAATTTATACATACATATATTTGTGTTTATAGATGGTAAATTATAAAGAGTAATGCTAAATGTATAAACAAATTTTACAAAGATTTATGTATAAACTGATGTAGCAGAAAATTAATGGAAGAGTGAATATGATGAGTTTGATTTTTTTTTTTTTTTTATTCACTCTTCCATTCATTTTGTGCTACATCAGTTTGTACACAAATTTTTGTAAGATTTGTTTGTACATCTAACGTTATTGAATTATAAAAGAGTGCTTTTGAGTTTTTACTAGCTGGCACGGTTAGTTTTAACATTCCCAAATGAGTTTGTTTCACTCAAATGCATCTTGACAGATGAGGAACTTACATGATATTTTAACAAAAAAAAAAAAAAAAAAAAAGCAAATATAATCTTTCAACTGAATCTAAATTTGACCCTCTAATATTCATGTAAGTTTTATTTTTAACCTCTATGCAGTTTGTTAAAGTTATAACACTCTAATTCATAGTTTGTGTTGTGTGGGTGATTGGGAGAAGAGTAAAAGTTTATTTATTGTGATGAATTAGATGATCGTTGTATCTACTCCTTTTCTTTTTCCAAGTGTATAACCCAAGGGGTTGCACCATTGTAAGCCTTAGTCTACCAATTAGACCCCTTCCTTCATCAACATCACGGGGATTGCCTACAAGGTTTATAAGTACTCATAGTATAAGATGTTTACCTAGTCAATATTTCAACATGGCTCTACCCAAACTTTTCTAGTTCATTCCAGTATTTCCTACTTGTCGAGGGTTGCGTAAAATTTTTTGGACATCATAAGAAAGGTAATTTTAATGTGGCCAATTTGGATTAAATGGCAACTAGAAGTTACCATCTCAAATTAAGTCAAGATTTTCATTCCTTGTAACCTTTGATGTGTATGGGAATGAAAATATAAGTTAAAGTGTACTAATTGATAGATTTTCAAAACTTGAGTGGTTTTAAAATAATTAGCTCAAAACATGGACAAATTTGTAATTTTGAAAATTTTGAGGGTCGAGTAATAATTAGCTTGATATCATTATAAATTGAACGCAAAAATATTAGTTGAGGGTTGTTTAAATCTCAATAAAATTTATAAAAATAAAATAAAAAATACTTTGAAGCAACAATGGACACCTAACAATAACTCAAAATATTATCTTTAAATTAAATTTCGACATTACTTTGTAATATATAATATATATTAAGTTTCTGTTTTGAATCTCTAAAACCATTTTCGAAATTCTGAAGGTGTTTTAAAAAAATTTCAAAACATAAGGGTTGTTTAGAATTTACCAAAAAGATTTCTCTCCTTAATGAAATTGTATTTTGCAAACCTCTAATGGTAAATATACGTCTATACATAACATTATTTTAAAATTAGTTTCACAATCTAACCCGTTAATGCCATGATGTATCATTCTTCACCTAAATTCTAAAATTTAAGAGACAACACCTTGAAACTTTTTAATTATATTATTTGACTCTATGAATATTTTATTGAATTGCATGTGTAATATCAAAATTTCGGATGGTTTTGCGGTTTTTGGGGGGATTTTGAAGAAGGGTTTCAGCCCTGATGCTGTGACTTTTACGTGTTTGATTAAAGGTCTGTGTGGAGAAAAAAAGATTTTGGAGTCAAGGGAGTTGTTTAAGAAAATGGTTGCTTTTGGTTGTAGGCCTAATGTGATCACTTATACCACTCTAATTCATGGTTTGTGTTGTGTGGGTGATTGGGAGAAGTGTAAAAGTTTATTTATATTGATGATGGATCAAGGTGTGCGGCCTTCTATGGTGACATTTAGTGTGGTCATAGATGAACTTTGCAAAAAGGGAAATTGAACGAAGCAAATAGGTTGTTGGAATTGATGATTCAAAGAGGTGTGGATCCCGACATTTATACTTACATCATTTTAATAAATGTTTATTGCTTGGCAGATAGAATTGGTGATGCAAGAGAGGTGTTTGATTCTACAACTAGAAAGGGGTATAGACCTAATGTTGTTTGCTACACTACTTTAATCAATTGGTGCTGCAAAAATAGAAATATTTACAAGGCTCTTTATCTTTATCGTAACATGATTTCCGAAGGAATTAGGCCTGATGTGATTACATATAACACCTTGATAACTGGACTTTTCCTTAATGGTAATGTAAAAGATGCACGAACATTAGTCAATGAGATGCAAATTAAAGGTGTTATAGCCAATTCATTGACATATAACATTTTCATTGATGGATTTTGCAAGAATGGATGTGTTTTGGAAGCATTGGAAATGTTTAATACTTTAGTAGATGATAAGTTTGCAGTTGACCTTGAAAGTTTGAGTTCCCTCATTGATAGATTGTATAAAACAGGGAGATTCGAAACTGCTTGGGAGCTATTTCAGAAAATTTTTCGTCAAGAAAACCTAGTTTCGAAAGTTGTAACATATGCCATTTTGATCAATGCGCTTTGTAAAAATGGACAACTAGAAAAGGCAAATGAGTTGTTCTCAAATATGGAGGAAAAAGTTTATGCTCCTAATGTATTCACATTCAATATGCTTTCCTCAAGAATAATGAGGTGCCAAGAGTTGTTGAACTCCTTCATAAGATGGCAGCGACAAATGTTAGGCTAAATGAATGTACAATGTCCTTAGTCATGCAGTTACTAATGAAGGACAAAAAATATCGTGAATGTTTGAACCTGCTTCCTTCATTTCCTATCCAAAAGCCAATTTGAAGTTTCATGATAAATATTTATTGAGTGGTTCACTTTTTCAGAGTAGTATCCTTGTCAGGAGAGCATTATTTGACAACATTGAAATATGAAACTGCAAGAGCTTCAGCCAGCTGTGGAAAGGCTCTATCTTTGTTACCGTACGAAGAATGCAGTTGACATGACAACATTGCTGTCACAAGAAATATATTCTGCTGTCACTCAGGCAGTTATTGTAATGATGATCCATGAAGATTTGGTTGATATGGGATTTCAAGCTGTTAGTGGAATCTATGAAGCAGCATGTTCTAAAAATGGACTTGGGTAAGATCCCCTTTATCTTATATAACGGTGTTACCTTTTTAAACCTTGAAGGACAAGGTCTAGTACTAGCCATTTGCCATTAAAACTATGCTATAAGTCTGTTTTTTAGATCTAAATCAGTTTGAAATGTTTATAGATTTCATTGCTTTATTGGTTTTCTCAGTTGTTTAGAATTTATTAGAGACACAAATTGTTGGATGTGCTGATTAACCATTTTACTTGTAGATTCTTGGTGGTGAGAATTGTTGGACAAAACTCCAGTAGCAATAATGTCTGATAGATAGTTTTTTTGCTCTTGAGGTTACTGCCTTTAGGATATATTCTTCCGATTCCAACAGGAAACTATCCATTCTGCATAATTTACACTGATAATTATATTCTCCAGAACTATTTGTTCCTGATTCATTGATATATTGTTGTTTTCTTCGTAGTTACTCTTGCCAAACTCCTAAAGCTTGGACTACAGATGATGGTTTAAGGGTACTATGTTACATGCGTTCGATGGCCAAATGGGCAATGCAATGGGCTCTAAGAAGGGCGAGACCTTCTAAAAATTAGATGAAACCGGGAGTGAATGAAGAATCTCTGTATAGACATCATGTCAGGTTCTGTGAAGTTGCTTGCCTTCTAAAGGTACTAGATGACAAAGCGCTTAAAGGTCTTTTATAGGGGTAGGCAAAATTTTAGGGTAGAACGGGAACTAACCGTTACTCGGGTGTCGGTTCCGGTTCCAAATTTGCTGGAACTGCCACTATGCGGTTCCAGTTCTGGTTCGAGCACTGCAGGAATCGGGAACCAGGACTGAAGTGAGATAACATTAAAGATTGGGGGGGGGGGGGTTGTAATTTTACACGTCATATAAGAAAATTCAATTATGATTTGGGGAAATAAAAATTTCGGTCGTTCGTCTTCGTCCAATCTACCTTTGGCTCTCTCTTAGTTCGAATCGTCGAATCTCTGGTGTTGTTAATTTGAATCGTCGAATGCTATTCTCTCACCTTCTCACGTTCGAATCTCCAGTGTTGCCATCTCCGATTAGGTATATTCACGGTTCCAAATCTTTTTGATTTAGGGTGCTTAATGATGAAGAAAGTCATGTTCTTTTTGTAATTTTCAAAATTGGATTTGTTTATATGTTTGTTTTTTCCCTTTATTTTTTGGTTCTACATTCTAGCGTAGGTTAGATGATAGGAACCCACTCCCAAATTGATAAGAATTGGGCTGGATAGGGGCCTTTGATAGGAATTGGGCTGGGTAATGGTCCTTTTGTGGTTTTGGGTAGAACTCTCCTTAGAAAACCGGCTTGTCAAGGGAGCATGCCCAAGCTCTTATAAATCACATACCCACATCTTTTCCCTCTCAATGTAGAATCCTAACATTAGAAAAGGAAGACTCTTCATGTTCTTTTTTATTTTTTTTTATTTTTTTTTTTTTTTTCTGATGAAGAGGGATAGGGTTTTGCTGTATCTGCTACTAAGAGTAGCATTCTGGATTGTAGAATGTTCATATTGTGGTTAGAAAAAAAATACTAAAACTAGTTGATTTTCAGTGTTTTTGAAGCTGGAGCTGTTTGAGGGCTTGCGCTTTGAGTTTACTGAAGGACTTAATCAGAAACTCTCACTAAGTCACAGGTGACTTTTCTTTCTTCTTTATTCTTTCTGAATCATTATTGTATATTTCAATTTCTGATCTTTTTTTTTTTTTGACCCATTTACTGTTTGCTCTTGTTCTTTATGGAGATTGAATATGCATGTTTGTTGCTAGATCTAGTATTTAAAGTTCTCTTTTTTATGCATAAAAGTAATGTTATTGGAAGAGAATTTTTGTAATATCATACTTTTAGTTTATAATGTCATACCATTGTAGCCAGCCCATGATACTATGAGCTCTTTGTGTTGTTTTATACTTTTATGTGAAGGCGTTGTTCATGCAGTTTAATCCTAAGTTTCATCTGTATATATTACCAGATTAGATTGTTTAATGGGTTTGAACAAATGGATGATTAAAAATCAATTACATGTTAAGATCACTGACTACATTATAGAATAATAGAAGGGGGCTTGGCAATGTGAATTGATTGTTGGCCTGTCTGCATAGTGGTGTTAATCTTTTACTTCTTGTGCCAAAATTAGCTGAACTTTTGAACTTATCATAAATCCTTGTCATAAATGATTTCGATTCAAGGCAATTATAGATAGACTTTATGTAACATATTCATATTTGTTTCTTAGAGTTTGGTTTTGTGTGTGAAAAAAGTGCTGTGCTGGCACAGTTTCAATTTAATCACTTGTTTTTTATGTTTCATTGTATGTTGATTGCTTAAATGTTTGCAGGAACAATGTCATCAATTAGAGAAAACATTGACTTTCTTGTTTTAATTTATGATAGCAAGATGTGTTATAAACCATATATATTTGCTTTTGAAAAGAGTAAAGTTATAAAGTAAATTAATTAAATTGGTCTTGTAAGATTGCAAGACGTGTGGTTTCTGTCCTATATATGTGAATGAAATTTATTAAAATGTTCATAAATTAAACTATGATTATCATATAAATGATATACAGGCAAACATGTGCTTTCATTTCTTCTTTTCGCTCTAAACCAGCTAATTATTACCATTATGGTTTTACTTATTTTAGGGGTACTTTCCTTATGTTTTTTGTAGCATTATATTTTGCTAGAATTGGCTGGAATAGAATTTTATTTAGATATCATTAGCTTTGTTCTCTTATTATTATCAATTACCTAACATTAACATATCATCCAACTAATGTCAAACTCTTATAGTTTTATGTAGTTAATTTAATTTTGTTCAATGTTTTTAACATACTAATAGACCCCTTCTTTTTTTTTTTTTTTTGGTAGAAGTGAATGAAATTGACGAAGAAATTCAAGGAATATCCGTTGCAAATTTAGAGGATGAAACTTAATATGTTATGTAATTTTAATTTTGGGAATAGTACTTAGAACAGTTATAATTTCTGTAAATAGACTGTTGCTGTGCTGTAGGGTGTATTTCTAATGTTTGAAAACTGTTGGGGGGTGTATTTAATGTTAAGAGGGTTTATATGTCATTTTTTATTTAGTAGGGGGTAATTAAAATTATCTTGGGTACCTGAAACCGGAATCGGAACCTATGTTTCTGGTTCCGGTTCCAGGTTTTGAGAAATTGGAACCAACTAGTTCTAGTTCCTTTGAATTTGGTGGGGTACTTGGACCTGCTCATCCCTAGTCTTTTACAATCATTGTTTGATTATACTTGCGAGAAAAAGTTTATGTAATTGATTGGTTCTTGTAATTTATTATTGTCATCAAATTTTGTGTACAACAACAAATTAATTAGAGTGAAATATAATTATTGGTGCATACTGTAGTGGATGTAAGAAAACTATTTGGAAATGTTATGTAAATTATTCTACTGGTGAAACATTTTAGTTTTCCAATTCTTGTGAGATGTAAGAAAACAAATAGATAAAATTCTTTTTAAAATCATTATAAATTGATTCCAAAATTCGATTATTTAAATCTATAAAATTTATCAAAAAAAGATGATGCATTTGATCACTCGGATTAAATGGGTTGGCTGGTATTGCAGTTTGGTTAACTAGAACTTCTCTCATTCTAGCTTAGGTAAGAAACAACTCAATACTTGTTGGCCTAAGCCTCGTGTTGACACATTCCCAGGGGTAGATAGATTAAAATCCACGAAGCATTTGATATCGACAATGTCTTTTTTAATATTGACATCTGTGGTAATAATGTAATATCATGAATTTTTTTTTTTTTGGGGGTTTGGCAAGGGTGAGCGGTTCCGGGTACCCTGCATTTTCTGGGAGAACCGGAACCAGAACTAGAACCGCACAGTGCAGGTTCTTCAATTCAAGGAACCGGAACCTAAAATGCAAGTTCCGGTTCCTTTGCAGGGTACCCTGTAAAAAATCAATTACCCCCCTATTAGTTTAAANTTACTTAAATACCCTTTAAACAACAAGATAACCAATTACACAAAATCTCTCCCATGCACAATAAGTCATTGCTGCATGAAGCCTTCTGCATTTTCTAGAAACACAATCCTGCAGACTTGAGTTTTTGATGCATTTCCAACAAGGCATCACTGCATCAACACTCCCCCTTGATGCATTTGCTGGAAACACCAAGTTTGAGTCTAAGTTCCTGAAACTTGGCTTTAGGCAAACTCTTAGTCATGATATCTGCAATCTGATCTAGACCCTGACAGTGCATCAAAGTCACTTCCCCATCATTTCCAGCCTCCCTAACTGCATGAAATTTAATCTTAATATGTTTGGTCCTGTCGTGAAGAACTGGATTCTTTGCCATTGCCATTGCTGATTGATTATCACACAATATTGGTGTTGGCCTAACTTGTTCTTGCTTCAAATTAGATAGGATTTTTCTGAACCAAGTAGCTTGGTTAACTACTGCTGCGGTAGAAATGTACTCTGCCTCTGCAGTACATTTCTACCGCAGCAGTGGACTGAGCCACCGAGTCTTGCTTCTTCGACAACCAACCAATGGCACCTTCATTGATGTAAAACACATACCTAGAGGTACTTTTCATGTCATCTAAGGAACCTCCCCAGTCACTGTCTGTGTATCCCTGCAGAACCAATTTTTCTGCTCTCTTAAACCAAATGCTAGGTTTGAAGTTCTTTTCACATACCTTAATACCCTCTTTGCTACCCTATAGCGAGATTCACTTGGACAACTCATAAATCTAGAGAGATAACTCACTGCAAACATCAGGTCTGGACGTGTGGCTGTCAAGTACGGCAAGCATCCTACCAGAGCTCTAAATATGCTCTCATCCACTCTTTTCTCACCATCATTTTTGCTCAGCTTCAGGTTAGAGACTATGGGTGTATCTGCAGGTTTGCAATTCTCCATTCCAAACTTTATGAGGATTTCATTTGCATACTTTTCCTAATACACAAATATTCCACTTTTGGACTAAAAAATCTGCATACTAAGAAAATATGACATCTCCCCCAAATCTATCATCTCAAATTCAGATTGCATGGATTGCTTGAACATCTTCAACTGGTTCGGATTGCTCCCTGTCATCAGCAGGTCATCCACATACAATGACACAACAATTAAATCACCTTCAGCTTCTTTAACATAAAGGGTATGTTCGTTTGGACTTCTTACATAGCCTAGGCTATTAATGTAATCGTTTATGCGGCTGTACCAGGCCCTAGGTGGCTGTTTTAGACCATACAATGCCTTCTCTAGCATGTACATCTTGCTTTCTTCACCCTTCACTTGGTAGCCTTCGGTTGGTCCACAAAAATCTTCTCTTCCAGATAGCCATTTAGGAAGGCATATTTGACATCAAGTTGGAAAATTTTCCAACTAAATTGGGCTGCCATGGCTATGATCATCCTTATGGTATCATGTCTTGCTACCGGAGCAAATGTATTACTGTAATCCACCCCTTGCTACTATGCAAATCCTTTTGCCATGAGCTTAGCCTTGTGTTTGTGGATTGTACCATCCGGATTGAGCTTTAATTTGTAAATCCATTTTACCTGAATTATTCTTCTGTTTTCAGGTCTTTCAACTAACCTCTATGTGTTGTTCTTCTCAATCATGGAAATCTTCTCTTGTATAGCATTCTTTCAAGCATCTGATCCTGCAGCTTTAGCATACGTTTTAGGTTCTAACACAGCCACATTGCACCTTCCATAAACATCAGCCAAGGTCCTGGTTCCACGAACTGCTGGTTCTTCATCTACTGGTGCTTCATTTTCTTCAGTTTCAAGTTCATCTAGAGCAGCTCCAGTTGGTTGTTGTGTGTTACAGTCAACAACAATCTGCTTGCTCTCCCAACACCAAACCGCAGTCTCATCAATTCTCACATCCCTAGTTATCACAACTCTTTTTGTCTCTGGAATGTACACTCTGAATCCTTTTGATTGGTTGCTATAACCAATGAAAATACCAACTTTAGCTTTGTTATCCAGCTTGGTCCTCTTCACTGTTGGAACCATCACATAGCACACACTTCCAAACACTCTTAAATATCCAATTGCAGGTTTCGTTCCTGTTCATGCCTCAGTTGGTGTTTGCCCCTTGACTGGTTTGGTTGCAGCCTATTCAGGAGATAAACTCCCGTATTTACTGCTTCAGCCCAGAATTTCTTAGAGAGATGTTTTTCTGCCAACATGCATCTAGTCATCTCCATGATGGTCCTATTTCTTCTTTCACTTACTCCATTTTGCTATGGAGTGTATGGAGTAGTGAATTGATGCCTAATACCAGCTTCTAAACAGAGAGAACTGAATTCTCTTGAAGTGTACTCTGTTCCATTGTCACTTCTCAATGATTTGATCTTTGTCCCAGCTTCATTTTCTACTAACAGTTTGAATTTTCTAAACACTACAGGAACCTCACTTTTCTGCTATAAAAAATACACCCATGTCATCCGTGTATAATCATCTATAAAGAGTATGAAATACCTGCTTTCACTCAAGGATTTTGTTTGCATGGGACCACAAACATCTGAATGAATCAGTTGAAGCTTCATTGTTGCTCTCCAAGTCTGATCCATAGGAAACGTAGGCTTGCTCAATTTTCTAATTTGGCATGCACTGCACAATGTGCTTTTCTCCTCAATTTCTGGCAGGTCACTAACCATGTTTGCATTCTTCAACTCCTTGAGGCCATTATAGTGGTAATGTCCAAGCCATTTGTGCCAAATTTATGACTCCTCCTGTCTAGTTAACAGGGCAGAATCATTGGTGGTTTTCCACTCAACAGGGAAGCTTTTCCCTAGCATCTTTACCCTCATCAATTCAGCCCCTTTAGGATCCAGTATGGTACATGCTTGGTTTTCAAAATGTAAGGAATAACCACTCTCTAACATTTCCCCACAGTCAATAGATTTTGGCTAATTCTAGGAACATACAACACATGAGAGATTATTTTTGTACCTTACCAAGTTCGTACAGTAACATCTCCTATGCCTTTGACCTCCATGAATTCACCATTCCCAATCTTGACTCTGGAGCTATATGATCTATCCAAGCTAACAAAATTTTGCAGGTCTATAGCCATGTGATTGGTGCAGCCACTATCAATTAACCAAGCATCATTGCTAGTTTGTACAGTGTAATAGGTGGCCACAAAGAGCTATTCTGTCTCTTGACATTGTTGTTGATCCTCCCCAACTTTTGCTTGTTGTATTGGCTAGTTTACTTTGTTCTTACACACTTTTTCAATATGCCGAATTGCTTACAACTCCTGCGCTGTATACCAAGCCTGAACTAGCATCTTCTCTTTGGATGCCCCTTCTTTTTACAGTGAGTGCAGGCTGGAAATTCTTTCGCTCCACCAAGTCTCTCCCATTGGTTATTACTCCTTTCTTTCCCTTTTCTATCTCTAGCATACTTTCTTGTTTGTGCTTGTGCAGGTTTGCCTTTGAAGCTTGCAACCAATGCACCCTCACTAGTATCTTCTTGCCTCAAGAGCCTTCTTTGCTCTTGAGCTTGGAGAGCATGGACAAGCTCAGTCAATGTGATTTGAGTCATGTTTTTAGAGTCCTCTAAAGAAGAGATTTTAGACTAAAATCTCTCCGAAAGACTCACTAAAACCTTTTCCACAACCTTACAATCTGTCAACTCCACTCCCATAAGCCTGATTTTGTTGACAACAGTCATTAGTCTATCAACATAATCCTTTACTTTTTCAGTTTACTGCATTCTTTGCATCTCAAATTCCCTCCTTAGATTAAGAACCTGCATATTCCCCATTGTAGTGCTCCCTATGTACTCCTTTCTCAATTTATCCCATGCTTCTTTGGGGTTTTCGTATGCCATGATTCTTGTAAAAACAATATTAGTCACAACAGCATGTATGTAAGAGAGAGCTCTCGGAGCTTTGGCTGTTTCTTCCTCATGCAGCCTCATTTGGTTCAACGTGGGATTCTGTCTAAGAGGAGGTGGCTGCCGGTTTTCTTCCACATACTGCCACAATCCC